GGGCTTTCTTCAGCTGCACAAAGCACGTGTAGGCAGGATGAGTGAACTTCGTCGACTTCCCAACATTCTGGTCTGGCGAAAGGTTAAGATCTTGTCAAAGCTGTTTTGACCTTAACTGAAACCAAACTGTCTTTCTTATATTTTAGTCAGTTATTCCGTGACCCATGTATAATTCCTTTACATATACTTCTTCCTGTAGGATTAGCAAATGCCTCGACATTTCGAGCACTCTCCATTCTTAAGCATGGTTACTACGATTCCTTTCTTTTGTATCTTCCCCGCGACCGCTGCAGTTTAAAAAGTTTTTTGTTACAACATGCGTTGGTCTCTTAAAGCTATGAGCACATCAAGGCGGATTTTTTCGATTCCAGTGTCCCTTCCGATTTTCAAGCGTTTTACTCCTTCTATGACATATGCTGACAGACTAATATGCGGTGCCTACTGCTTTCAAGCGATTTATTCTGCGGTTTTGAACCGCAACATTCAGTGGCAGTACCTAGTAAGTCGTTCCTAAGAAGATTCCACTGGATTTCCAAGTCGACCGTCATCATTGGGTTCTGTTCAAACCGTTGTGCGATGTTTGCAAATTTCGCTCTCCTGTCCACCGAAGACAGTTTCCCATTTGATTTTCAGGTTGTTTCTGCCAGCAGATCCTTGTATGGTACTCCACTTCTGACAGCGCAACTTGCCAAAAAACAAACCGGCGATCGGTTGACAGCTCTGCGCCTCTTTTAACCAAGCATGCATTATCGAGCATCTTAAATCAGACAATACGATTATCAAATCAATCATCGACTTCTGTGCACAAGCTTCCCGGTACCAGATATGCTGATGCACTCCTCGATGCACGAGGAAGGTGTTCATAATAGACAATCCGTTGTTTGCACAAAACCGCAGCAACTTCATGCCGTTATTTTTGAAGTTTCTAGGACCGTTTTTTCCATTCACGATTTTCCACCTTTTAATGTCTGTACGGATATGCGCATTTTAAAACCGCTCTTCACCTTTTATTTCCTCCAGGAATGACTCATATTCTTCCTCAATATGAAGCGCATAGACCCGTGTAAAAATTTGAGGCAGTTGTAACATTAGTTCACTGCCCTCTGCCAGCCGAGGGCGTCGCAGCACAACGATGGCTGACGAAGACCGACGCAACGACGACGATGATCCATACTTACCTACGGTCATGAATCGTGGACCATCACTGAAAAACTTCGAACCCGGGTACGACCTGCTGAAATGGGCTTTCTTAGACGAGTCGCTGGCCTTACGCGTCTCGACATGGTCCGAAATG